TCTGTACACTGGTCCGGGAGAGTAGACGAATCCTCGAGGAACTGGACATAAGGCATCCAATCGAACTGAAAAAAAAAAGAAAAAAAAAGAACAAAAATTTGAATTAAGAATTACTAAGAATTAAGTTAGCAAATATTTGAAAACAATGAAAAACAAAATATAAGTTAATATATAAAACTTAAGAATCTTACATCCGTCTCTCTCAGCCATGTCAGCTGATCCCGGATAGCGGCTGTTCCCTTGGCTATTTGCGTCAAGTTCTTTCTTCCCACCCGCCTTAAAGATCACAAAAAAATAAGTTTGTAATTTCAAAATTTAATAATGAAAAAACTTAATATTTATTAAATATAAATAAATGTTCATACCTTGCTCCTAAGGGACAACCAGGTACAGAATGAAAGCGCGTGGATTTCATTGTATGGCGAATGCGAGGGATGCGTTCCCATGCCCAAACCTACACATATCGACCGACATATGCATTTTTTGTATTAGATATTAGTCAGAATAAAAAAAATGAAGTTTTAAATAACATCTAAAACAAATGTACCTGGAGCAATTGGACACAACCCTTCATCCAGCCTTGCCCGGCCTCGAAGGCTGTGCACAACGCTCTATACAATCCGGCGAGGACCGCTGAAGCCCAACTATACCCCTTTATTTTATCAATGTCGTGCAGCATATCCAACCAGTACAGGTTGACTCCGTTCGCCCGCTGGTCGGGGAAGAAGAACGAGCCTATGCACCAGAGTATAAGGGCACTCGCCCTTCGTTCGTAGACCTCGACGTCTTCTCCATCTGAGAGCTCTCGTTTACATTCAGCCTCTAATGGGCCGACATTCAAGAATTGGCTTTTAATGGGCCAAGTCCTGGGCTCGTACGCCGGGTCACCTCTATCCTGTAATTGGTTTTTAAAAACAAAAAATAAAAAAACGAGCAAATTAGAGAAAAAAAATAATAATTAAATATAATTAAATAGTTTCATATTTCTTAAAGATAGAAAATAATACATTTATGTATAAATTAAAATAGTTGAAATTTTAATAAACGAGAAATGGGTGTCACTATAAATATAAAATATAATCACAATGCTATAAAATTTGTATTTTTTTATTGAATTCGAATAAAATATATGAAATTGTAAATACTATTTGAGATAGAATATATACCTGGACATTGGGGCGAAACCCTAGCAAGTCAACACACATGTCTCGCCATTGCTGGGGAGTCGTATCCACAGTCCTTCCCGAACAAGCTTCTCCATTGGCCGGGAGGCCAAATAGGACTTGAACGTCCTGTTATTGTGGCCTCCCCACAATCGAAGTGGAAGGTATGCGTCTCGGGACGCCACCTTTCCACGAGGCAGGTGATGAGGCTGTTGTCTGTTGTTACTCGGCCCATCCGAAACACCGAGCCAAAACCTGCCATGTCGATTTGCTCCCAAACTTTATCATGCTGCTTCTCCAATGCGGGCCAGAACTCACTGTCGTTCCGACGGTTTGTAATAATGCCGTTATGATAGCCTGGTTCATCGTCATATACCGCCTTGGCCCGGTGACAGGTATGAAGATACAAAAGCGACCCGTCAATCGGACCGGGTTGTACATTGTACCGGCGAGCCTGTGAGGACGACGAAGATGCCATTTTCTACATTTAAAAAAATAAAACAAGTCAATAGAGAGCAAATTATTAACCACAAAAAACAAACAAATTAACAAGGTGTTCGAGAAAATTCAGAAACAAGTTCACAAACAAAAAGAGAGGCTCCCAGATTAATTCGTACAATTATAATTCAAATCGAACAATCTTAATTCAAAAAAACCCTAAATCGAACAAGCCCTAATTCAGACAAGCCCTAATTCGAACAAGCCCCTAATTTGAACAAACCCTAATAATTGTTTCAAAGTTTCCCATTTATTTCCATTCAAAAAAAGAAATAAGTTTACCATTTATGGACTAATAATACACTTCTACACAAAATAGCATAAAAAACTAAAGCAAAAGGATGTCATTCCTAATTGCACAGTTGCTTTAATTTGCAGAATTCAAAAGCCATCCACAAGCCCTAGAAATAATAGAAAACGCTCTCCACCGATCCTCATCATCATCTTCCCCAAATCCTCCTTCAATTATAATTCAAAAAATCACAATTCGAACCCTTAATTCGTACAATTATAATTCAAATCGAACAATCCTAATTCGAATAACCATATTTCGAAGCCCTAATTCAAAAAATCCTAAATCGAAGCCCTAATTCAAAAATTCCTAAATCGAAGCCCTAATTCCAACAATTTCAATTCAAATCCCAATCTCCAATTCAACATATATCATAATCGAAGAAATTTCGAAAACATTCTGATATAGGATATTATCTGTATAAAGACGAGCCGATTTGGTGAGCCGGTCGAGAAGGACAAACCGGAAGCGAACCGAGCCGAAAGGCGGGAGTCCACGTGATCGAGCGGCCTAAGGCTCGACCACACAAGTGATCGAACAACCCGAGGCTTGACTGCACAAGTGATCGAACAACCCGAGGCTTGACTGCACAGGTGATCGAGCAGCCCGATGCTCGATCAGACTGGTCGAGCTACCCGCTAATCGACCAGACCAGTGATCGAGCAAGCTGAGTGATCGAGCAAGCTGATCAACATAGGCCCAGACGCGTGTATGGC